ACTTTCTGCATTATGCTTTTATGTTACTAGTGCAATATGTTTATCTAAACCATCATTACCACAAACACGGAAGTACAACCTATGCTGACATTATACCATCTACACTAGGGTTTTGGAGACAGACAGGAGATGTTGTGGGCTAAGTAAATAAGTTCACAGTATTTCTCAATAATTGATATCAAAGTGGGGGACAAAGTATGTCTTCAGGACAAAGCTCAGCCACTAGGAGATGCTGAAGAAATTCCTAGCTTGTCTCTACACACCAGCTTCCTGCAGGCTAATGGTCCCTAGGAACTGCTAGGACAGCCAGTATCTGCTATCCTGTGGTACCTCCTGGTTGGTAAGAAAGGGCTCTCTGTTACAGGATTTGGTGACCTTCAATGATGTGGCTGTGCTCTTCACCCAGGAGGAGTGGGGGCGGCTGAGCTCTGCCCAGAGGACCTTGTATAGGGATGTGATGCTAGAGAACTACAGCAACCTGGTTTCTCTGGGTAAGCTGGACACCACAGTATTTACCTTCACCTTTGTGGATTTGTTAAGACCTCCCTGGAGGATCTGGAGTTTCCAGTCTGGTCCCTCAGCCGATTAGCCCCAAAGACATTCTAATTATTAAACTGTTGGCCGATAGCTAGGGCTTCTTACTGGCTAGCTCTCTCTTAATTATTAACCCATAACTACTAATCTATGCATTTCTACATGGCCTTATCTTACCAGAGAATGCCTGTCTGTCCTATCTTCCCAGCCTCTACATGGCGTCTCCCTGAGGCCTCTCTCTGCCTTCCTCTCCCCAGCCTTCTCCTGGCCTGGTACCTCCCCCCCCCCCATGCTTCTTGCCTGGCTATTGGCCAATCAGTGTTTTATTCATCAACCAATAAGAGAAGCATATATACAGAAGGACATCCTGCATCACCCTGAACTGCCATAAAGACTGGGTTAGAATTGGGCCTGCTGGTGATACTGCCTTCATTTCTACTATGTGTCTGTCCCCTTGGTGTTCCCAGAGCTCTGCTGAAGTCTCACCTGGAGAGGTATCACAATTGAGAGGGGTGTGGGAACACACAGACTGTGCCAGGACCAAGCCACTCCACCACACACACACACACACACACACACAAACACACAACACACACACGCGCACGCACGCACGCACGCACGCACGCACGCATGCACGCACACACACACACACACGTTCCCCTTCCTGTCTAATCACCAGTTCCAGAAAGTTCTGAGGATCAGGTATCATCCTTACAATGACTTTTATCTTCATTATAATCAGATAAAGTCAATTTTTCTTCCTCCTTCAAAAGCAGGACTCTTGGGATCCAAACCAGACGTGTTTTTTCACCTGGAAAAAGCAGACAAATGCATGTCAGAGGATGCGCCAGAGGGCTTTGTTCTTGGTAAGAGCCATGCATGTGGAACTTTGGGAGGAGTCCAGTCAGTGTGACAGGCCTGGGCCACATTGTCCCAGCATACATATCCAAACTGGCATTCATTATGGAAGTCTGCACATGTCTGAGCCCTTCCTTCCATGGTTTCTTTTCTCTTTTTGTTTCACATAAGTTAGTAATCTAGGGTTGGAGAGGTGGCTCTGTACTTAAGGGTGCTTGCCCCTCTTCCACAGGATCCAACTTAAGTTCCCAGCACCCACACTGGGCAGCTCACAGTTGTCTTTAACTCCACCTCCAAGGGATCCAACATCCTCATCTGGCCTCCATAGGGAGACTGCACACACATTCATACACACAAATGAAAATAAATGTAAAAAATTGTAAAAACACCTTTTGTGTGTGTGAGAGGGGGGCAGAATCCCTTTCTATATAGCCTGGCTGTCCTGGAACTTGCTATGTAGACCGTGAACTCACAGAGATCTACTTACCTCTGCCTCCCGAGTGCTGGGATTAAAGAAGTGCGCCACCACACTTGACCTGTAAAGTATCTTTTAAGACCTCTTATGACTATTTTTCACTGTAATCCAGTGAAATAGTCAGAGATTTATATTTTATAGTTGATATCCATCTCAAATGTCTAGGACTCAATGTTTGATAAAAATTAGCTATCATAACTCAAAATTGCATTTGTTAAAAATATTTAATCTACCACTGATATACAGTTCAGTGATAGAGCATGCATGAGGTCCTAGGTCGGTGTTTCTCAAGGTCAAGACCCCTTTGGGGGTTGAATGACCTTTTCACAGGGGTCACCTAAGATCATTGGAAAACACAGATATTTACATTACCGATTCATAGCAGTAGCAAATTTACAATTATGAAGTAGCAACAAAAACAATCTTGTGGTTAAGGGTCACCACAAACATGAGGATCCATATTAAAGGGTCACAGCGTTAGGAAGATTGAAAACTAACTGTCCTAGGTTCGATCCCCAGTATAGGGAAATAAAATCTTTAACTCGCCACTATAGAATATTCTATGGATTTGATGTTCTTTGACAACCAAATGCCTTAACTCACTGAGCCATCTTGCCAGCCCAAAATCTCCAACATTTTAAGTACTGACAAACCACCACATCTGACCTCAGATGATAGGTCACAGTCAGAACTCAGACACTGAAACCATTCTATAAAATTACCTTAGGTTGTGTGCACGTAAAGTGTACATAAACATGAGGGGTTTCATGTTCAATCTTGGGCCCCATCCCTACGGTTTTTCTTTATGCTTGTGCAGACATCTGCCCAACCCCCACCCCCAAAGTGAAACACTCTCTTCCCAGGTACTTCAGACAAGGGCTGCTCAGCTGTGTTAGATTAAATTTTTCCATTGTTGTGCCCATTACTCTTGCCTTAGCATAGACAGTTATTTTTCAATTAGCATACACAGCACTAGGTTTCATTACAGTATTTTCAAACAACATTGATTTTGTTGATCCTCATCCTCTTTACCCCATCTCTCTGACCCCTCTCCCATACTCACCTACCCTCCCCAACCTCCTTTCCACTTTTACGTTGCATATATACGTCCCATTGCCCACCCCTTCTCTTTCTCCCTCTCATGGTTTCCTTTCTTGTTTCATAACCTATATCCACACGCATATACAGCACATAGAAACACACAGGCTGGGATGGAATGAGTGAGAACATGTAATTTTTCCTTCTGAGTCTGAGATACCTCGAATAATATAATACTTTCCCTTTCCTTCCATTTTCCCGAAACTTGCATTTTTATGGTTTCATAAAATTTTATGGTTTCATAAAATTTCATAAAATATGATATATAAAAATATATATCATATTTTCATTCTCATTACCCATTGATGGACATCTAGTCTGGTTCCATTTTCTTGCTATTGTGAATCAAGCACCAATAAACATGGATGAGATATGGGAGGGAGCATGTAGAGTGCTTTAGGTATCTTTTCAAGCATGAGATAGCTGGGTCATGTGGCAATTCTATTTTTAAATTTTCTTGAGAAATCTCCATACTGATTTTCATATGGCTGTACTTTACACTCCCACCAGCAGGAAATAAGGCTTTTTCTCTGTGCCTGCATCTTTGCCAACACTCATTCATGGACAGTTATTTTTAATCACAGAAAGAAAAACATCGTATCAGATGGTTTTGCATTTTATGTTTTCTGTCCTCTCGACCACTAGCTATAGAGAGCTGTGAGTTGAGTGCTGCACAGGGCAGTTTGGAGTAGGCATGTGTGATTGCTGACACATTTAATCTTTAATGTCCGGCAAAGCAAGAGTGATGGATACACTCTGCAGCTTACTCCACCCAGTGGAGATAATGCATTTGGACTGAGCCTTCTCTTCAGCCCCACTAACTTTGTTTTGTGCTGGTATTTCCTGAACTACTTTTCCAAGTCATTTTGTCAATGTGGCAAAAGACCTGAGAGAGAAACCGCCCAGAAGGAAGGTTTATTCTGGCTCAGTTTCAGAGTTTGTAGTCCATGGTGAGCTGGCCCCATGGCAAGACAGAAACACCACAGAGGAAGGAGGAGGAAAGCATGGAAGCTAAGGGACAAAACAGGAAGAGGTAAGGAGCAAGACATACTCAGGAGTAAAATGCTTCCTCCAACCACACCCTGCCTCCTAGTAGCTCATTCTTCTAGGAGCTAAACATTAATGAGGTTAAGACTGGGAGATGGCTTGGTGTGTAAATGCTCACTGCATAAACAAGAGGGCCTGACTTCAGATCCCCATTTCCTGGGCAAAAGCTGTACATGACAGAATACATCTGTAGCCCCAGCATTGGAGAGCAGAGACTGGAGACTCCTAGGGTCCACTGCCCAGCCAGTCTAGTGAAACAGCAAGCTCAAGGTTCAGGACACTCGTCTCAAAAATAAGGTAGGAAGTGATTGAGGAAGCCACCCTGCGTTAACCTCTGACCTCTACAAGTGTTCTGACTAGCATCCTGGTTGGATCCCTAAATTTTGCCTGTGAGATAACGCTGAACTTTTCATTCCCAGTAGTCTTTGAGTTGTATCCCCCAAGAACTGCTATCATTCTCTACCTTGGTGTTTTTTTGTTGTCTTTTTTTTGTGGGTTTTTTGTTTGTTTGTTTGTTTTTTTGGTAAAGGTCAATCTAGATTTTCTTTGAATAGAACATGGTGTTGAGACATGACTTCTGATATTTAAAATCACTTTTACCCACTGAGCCATTTCCCTGGTCCTATCCTAGATTTTTTGAAGTAAACTAATTTCGAAGTAATATGTAGTACAGAAAAAATACACATATTTATAATCCAATAAATTTTTAACAGCATGAACACATTTGTATAATCAATATTCATATAAAAAAGAAAAATTACTGTCACCCCTGTAACCCCTGCCCCCCCAGTCCTTTCTCTTTCTTTTGACCCAATGGTAACACATTTATTTTTATTCTTTCTGAATTATGTAAATGGGGTTGTGCAGACTTCACTCTTCTGTGTCTGCCAGCCTTTTTCCAAGTCACGTGACAGGCAGCTGCAGTTGGCTCACCCTCATGGCCCTATTATGATTTACCACAGAAACTGGTCGCAGGGTGGGGTTTCTGCTTGGCATCTGTTTCCCTTCCGCCTCGAAGCTCTTAGGTAATGATTACTGTGACATTTTCTTCGGCTTATAGAAAACGTTTGTGCACGTGTTTTGCCCCATGTGTCCCTGAGACATCCTGTGCTTATGCATCTTTTGAGTCTTTGTAGACCTAGCGAAGGAACTTCCCAGTGTTTGTGCTGACTTATATTCCAACTAGCGGAATAGGGAGCTCACATCCTTTTACAGCCTTGGAGTGTGTCAGCATTCTGGAGGATGTGTGGAGCTTCTCAGCTGGTGGCGACAATGAGTCTTATTATACTTATTATTTATTTAAACACCTGAGCATCTTCTTGTATAAAGGATCTGTAAGACTTCTCTCCCTTTCTGTTTAGCTCCCTGGCCTTCTCTTCTTGATTTGGAGGATGGTCTAGTGAGTGTTTCAGTTCCCACTCTGAACAACGATGCCGTCTGATAGGTACAAGTTTTCAAATTTTAAGGTAGCTTAATGCATTACAGTTCTTTTCCTTCCTTTGGTCTATGCTTGTGTCTTTTTAAAAATGTATTGTAGAGGGGGAAGAGGTCAGAGACAGCTTTTCAGGATTAGATTCTCTCCTTGCTTTTGAGGCAGGGTCTCTCCTGTTTCTGCTGCTGCACTTGTACTCTAGGCTAGCTGGCCTGCAAGGTCCTGGACAGTACTCCTGTTGCCATGTCCTGTCTCCCCATAGGAGTGCTGGGACTATAGATGCAAACCCCTATGTCTGCCTTTGTAGCTGAGTTCTGGGAATTAGGCTTGAAGCACTTTTCCCCACCTTGCCATCTGCCCGCCACTTGTGTCCTTTTCGAAGGTATCTTAAGCTAATGAAAATCTGTTTATTCTAACAGCTTTACTATTTTATCTTCCATCTTTAGGCCCACAATTTTACTTTCTCTCTGGGTATTCAGCTGACCAGGATCACTTACTAAAAGGACCATTTCTCCCCAAGGTACTGTGCCCTCCCCTTGTCAGGCACACTCTGATTGCTAATGTGTAGGCCAATTCCAGGTCCTATAATCTGGTCTATGAGTCTGTTTCTGGGCCATCACGTTTCACTCTCTGTTCAATCTCATGCAGTTCTATTACGAGAAGATCTGGACTTCTAAATAAAGTTAAGATATCTTTACTTAGATAAATACCCGACAAACTCAAGCCAGAGCGTGCCAGGGGCAGCAAGTCAGGGAGGCCGGAGAGAAAACTCCCATGTGCCTTGCAGCCCCTTAAAAACCTATCATGAGTCATCCTGACCTCACCTTGACCACACCCTGACAGGCATGGTCAGGCACACCTGTAGCCAGCTTCTAGCAGGCATGGCTTACACTGTCCCCTACATAGTTCTAACACTTCCAATTACTCTAGAGTTGTAGTGAGTCTTATACTCGTCAACACAAGTTTTCCAGCTTTGCTGATTATTGCATTCAGAATTTTAAGTTTGCCCATTCAGTGTCTGCAAAATTTCTGTTAAGATTTTGGACAGAATTTCCCAGAGTGTGTAGTTTAAGTGGGGAATTCAGAGTTTCCCATTCTTTTGACTATGGTATATTCCTCCTGTTTTTAGGCTTTTGTTAATTTCTTGGAAATGTTATTGTCTGAGGGATATAGTCCTGTCCATCTTTTGTTATGCCCTATTTACTTCACAATGTTGTTGCTTTTGATGTAAGTATTCATCTTTTGGGAGTATCACTTTCTAATTTATTGTTGGTATGTGATATACTATAGTTTTTATATTCCATAATTAGTTCTTATTTTGCATTTTATATAAACATAGTCATGTCAGATGATGACATTTTTATTTTTTCTTTTCCAAATTTTAATCAATTTTGATTTTTTTTTTTTGAGTTAGTATAAGACCATGTAGCTCTGGCTGTTGTGGAACTCATTCTGTAGACCAGGCTGGCTTCAAACTCACAGAGATCCACCTGTCTCTGCCTCCCGAGTATTGGAATTAAAGGCATGTGCCGCCACTGCCCAACTCAATTTTGATTTTTTGAGGTAGGGTCTTACTATGTAACTTAAGCTAGTCTGGAACTCTTTATATAGCCCCGGTTGACCTTGAATTTGTGATTCTCCTGCCTCTGCCTTCTGAGTGCTGAGACTACAGGCTTCTCTAATTCAAGCTATTATGTACTTTATTGTCATCATTGTTATTTGAGGGCATAGTTTGTGTGTGTGAGGTATATGTGCATGTATAGACGAAGTCAGAGGAAGGCGTCATGTCCTGCTCTGTCACTCTCAACTTTACTCCTTTGAGAGTCTTTCTCTGAACCTGTAGCTAGGCTGACCGCCAGCCAGCCATCTTCCTGTGTTCCCTTCCCACACTGAGTGCTGGAGATTCAAACTCTGGTCCTCGTGCTTGTGCAGTAAGCACTCTTACCCACTGAGCTGTGTGCCTAGTCTTCTATTTACTTTTTCTTTACCTTGTACTATGACTTATAGCTTAGTATTGAATAGAAAAGGTAATAGCAGCTTGGTTATTTCATTCTAGTCTCACGGAGGTATTTCATTGTTAATATTTTACAATTAACAGTGGTTAATGTGGTTCATGTATGTCCTCTTTATTGAATTACAAGACTTCTCTCCTGCTTTTCTGGGAGTTTTTCATGATTTGCTTTGAATTGAGTCAGCTGCCTTCCCAGCACCTGTCAAAAGACTGATGGGATTTTCTCTTTTTTCTAATCTCTTGATATTAGTAGTCAGTATACCCATTATTTCCTATGTTTGGAAGCTTTAGTTGTCCTGTGAGCTCCCATTTGTATCTGTACTGACAGCACCATTCAGTTGAAAAGACTTCTAAATGTTGTCATGATTTCTCCTTTGATGTGCCAGTTATGTAGACGTGTATCACTTTCGTTCTGTTCGCTCTGATTTTCACTTGGAATATTTTGAAGTTCTGTCCTATATGTACACACATTCCTGGAGTGTCGCCTCTTTGTTTTCTCTAATGTGGGATATGTCTGATACTAATACAAGCACCTATCTTTCTTTTACATTTAAGTCCTTTCCACTCTTTTATCTTTACTGTTTCAGTGTCTGCATTTTCCTATTTCTGTTCTAATGCCCTGCATTTGGGCTTTATTTATTTAGATTAGTTACTCTGTGTGTGGAGTTTGATGTCTACGACTCTATTTATACTGTTTATTCACCTGCTTTGAATTCTTTTTTATCTTTCTTCCCTTCTCTTGGATTGTTTTTATTGTTTTACTTTTGTCCTATATTGGTTTGTTGATTTATGGTCTTTTGCCTTTTAGTGGTATATGTAATACTTAAAACTAGCTTCTTATTATCCAAAATGATGTTTTTAGTTGTTCTAATTCTCACACAGAACTCGGAATGTAGCTCCGTGGGTAGAGTACTTGCCTAACATACACCAAGCCCTGGTTCAGTCCCAGCACGACATAACCCGGGCCTTGTGTCTGTGGTATGCCTAGTATCCCAGAACTTGGGAGGTAAAGGTAAGAGAATTAGAAGTTCAAGGTCATTGTTGGCTGCATAGGGAGCTCAAGGCTGGCCTGGGATACCTCCAAAAAAATTATTGTCCAAAATTTACTACTACTTTTTCCTACATTTCTGTATTTCCACATGCTTGATTTTTTTTTCATCTGTCAGGGACACTTGTGGTTTGCTTTGAACTTAGGCCAGCTGTTGGCACTGTCTCTTGTTTACTTGTAGGCTACTTCTGTTTCATGTTTATTCTTCAGAAATGTTTTCTCATTTTGGTCAACTTTTCTTTTGAGTTTGACAATTAGGTTCTTTTAATACTTGTGATATTATTTCACTGTCTTCTGGGTTCTGTGGTTTGCATTGACAAGACTTGTTTTTGTCCCATTACAGGTACCGTAACTTGACCACTGGAGCCACTTTCCAAATGCCCTTTGGCTTTCAGTCATTCTTCAGTGATGTACCCAGATGAACTTTAGTTTTGACCATGCTTGTTTAAAGTAGGGGGTATCTTCTGAGCTCGTGATTTAAGCTTTAAATGTACTTGCTTGCTTTTCTCTTCTAGATATTATTTAGTTATGGTTGTTTTGTGGTTCTCAATGGAAGATTATCTGGGATGAGTGGGAATGGGAAGTGCGAAGAAGAGCTTGTTCTTGATAGGATTTCCTTGAACCTACATTATCGGTATTTAGTATCTAATCCTTACTATTACATATCTCAAAGCTTTAACTAGACTTATTAGAAGGCAGAAAATGGCATGAAATCTCAAACTCGACTTCATAATATCATGATACCCATGAGTCAAAGTAAGAAGGTTGTTGAATAGGTGTGGAATTGTCATGTACCTCAAGACCAAAAGCAACAGATTATTTGGTCAGATAATCCATGGGGCTATGTCTACTTTTCTGCTAAAAATCCCATTTGTAAGTGATCATTATGCTGTCTCCCCCAGAGTCACAGAGTCCCCTTCCTGGAAATACTAGATGCTAACAAGTGGACTTTGTTCCTAGGTTTCTGTTCTTCTGTGTCACAGGGTGTTTTCCTTGTGTAGATGTCACAATGTCATGTTTGGGGCCATCACTTCTGTATGTGCAGTTGAACATCCTTATTTCATTAGTATAGATGAGCACTTCACACAGCCAAGGGACAAGTAAACTTCTGATTCTGATTGAGTATCCATACTCAAATAAGTCTAGAAAATATAAAAACATTGGTTTTGGTCTTGAGGGTTTCTTCCTACCGAGTGTTGACCTCTAGGTTCAGGGTGTTGTTTTGGCAACATTGGTGTTGTCATAAAGATCTTATCACTGGACAAGATAGCTACACACACCTCTTGTATGTTAGCATAGTATGGTCTACATTAGAGATTTTTAAAAGACTTTTTTGGTATTTTTGTGTGCTTTCTTTGATTCATAAAATTTTTCATACACTATAGTTTGATTATTTTTTCTCCTCCCTTCTAGATCCTCCCCATTCAAATTTATGATTCTCTCTCTTTCTCTCTCTCTCTCTCTCGATTTTATTATTTATGTGTGTGGATATGTCTCTGTACCACATGTGTGCCTGGTCCATGCAAAGGCCAGAAGAGGGCATTGGATGCTCTGGAACTGGAGTAACAGACAGACATATATTAGCTACCATGTAGGTGCTGGGAATTGAACCTGGATCTTCTGGAAGAGCAGCCAATGTTCTAAACCACTAAGCCATCTGTCCATCCCCCAAATCTTTTTTTTTTAATTTATTTTTTATTTTACATTCGGACTGCAGTCTCCCTTCCCTTCTCTCTTCCCACTCTCTCCCCCCACCTGCCCTCTGCCCCTTCTCCCCATCACCTCTCCTCTGTATCCACTCAGAAAGGGGCAGGCCTCCCATGGGCATCAACAAAGCATGACATATCAAGCTGCCATAAGACCAAGCTCCTCCCCTGTACCCATGCTGGACAAGGAAATCCAGCATGAGGAATAGGTTCCCAAGAGCCAGCCAAAGCACCAGGGACAACCCCTGCTCCAATTGCTAGGAGTCCTACAAATAGAACAGGCTACACAACTGTCACATAGATTCAGTCAGTCCTGTGCAGGCTCTCTGGTTGTTGGTTCAGAATCTGTGAGTTCCAACCAGCCTATCTAGCAATTTCTGTGGGTTGTCCTGTGATGTCTCTGACTCCTTGGATCCTACAATCCCTCCTCCCTCTCCTTAGCAAGACTTCTTGAGCTCAGTCCAATGTTTGACTGTAGGTCTCTGAATCTTCCTCTCTCAGACACTGGATAAAGGCTCTCCACTGACAACTGGGATAGTCATCAATCCAATGGCAGGCATCCCTCAAATCTTATTCTTTAACCTAGGTTAGCCTCATTGTGGTCCATCTGCCTCAACCTCTCAAATGTTGGGATTACAAGCATGAATCAAAATTGCCCTATTTTAGATATCTTTGAGATTTAAAAGTCAGATAAAATCTATTTAATGACAAACAAAATGAACATGGTTCTCGGGATTCCAACTCAGGTGCAGGATCTTTGAAATCAAACTCCCAAACACTCCTGCCTTAGGTATAGCATTAAAGAAGCATCTGCCATACTCCTGTGTTCACATCTCTGGCTCTTTCCCCTTCATGTCACCAGTTTAAGTCTTCAGCTGCAGTTTCTTTGTTAGCATTGTTAACAGGCTAACATTTCATTTCATTCCATCAAGCTGTTTCACCAGGGTAAAAGTGGCATTTGTGTTTTCATTATCTTTCAGGAGGGATTACAATGACCATGAGTAAGAAATGTCTCAGGGCAGATATCTCTAAAAAAGAATCAGATCAATGGATAATGAAGGAGAGCGTCACCAGAGAGACTCACCGGGAATGTGCTAACCTGTTAGACTGGCAGTACCAGGAGGGTCAGGAGGTCAGGTTGCAGCAAGTGGGCCTCACCCAACAGGACACTCCATCAAAGCTCAGTGAGCAGCAAGCTGAGGTGTCTGAGAAGGGCTGCACAGTGAGCTCATTACCCATTCAAAGTCAGAGATCTCAAGCAAGCAAAAAAGCGTTTGAATGTAGTGAGTGTGGAAAAGCCTTCTCTAAGAGTTTCACCTTTAAGAAACATCAGGAAATTCATACTGAGAAGCTCAACACAAGTCAGAAAACGTCCATTAAAGAAAAGCGCTATGAATGTCGAGAATGTGGAAAAGCCTTTCACCAGAGCACACACCTTATCCATCACCAAAGAATTCACACTGGTGAGAAGCCATATGAATGTAAGGACTGTGGCAAGGCCTTCTCAGTGAGCTCTTCGCTTACCTACCACCAGAAAATCCATACTGGAGAAAAGCCGTTTGAATGCAAAGTTTGTGGGAAAGCCTTTATCCGGAACATACATCTTTCCCACCATCAGAGAATACACACTGGAGAGAAACCTTTCCAGTGCAACATTTGTGACAAAGCTTTTGTCTGCAGAGCACATCTTACCAAACACCAGAACATTCACAGTGGCGAGAAACCCTATAAATGTAACGACTGTGGGAAAGCCTTCAACCAGAGTACAAGTTTTCTTCAGCACCAGAGAATACATACTGGAGAGAGACCCTTTGAATGCAACGAATGTGGAAAGGCCTTCAGAGTGAACTCTTCCCTTACCGAACACCAGAGGATTCACACTGGGGAGAAGCCATATAAATGTAGTGAATGTGGCAAAGCCTTCAGGGACAATTCATCCTTTGCTCGACATCGGAAAATTCACACGGGAGAGAAACCTTACAGGTGTGGCTTGTGCGAGAAAGCTTTCAGGGACCAGTCAGCCCTAGCTCAGCATCAGAGAACTCACACTGGGGAAAAGCCTTACACGTGTAACATCTGTGAGAAAGCCTTCAGTGACCACTCAGCCCTTACCCAACATAAGAGGACTCATACAAGAGAAAAACCGTACAAATGTAAAATCTGCGGAAAAGCTTTTATACGGAGCACACACCTCACTCAGCATCAGAGGATTCACACGGGAGAGAAACCTTACAAATGTAACACATGTGGGAAAGCCTTCAACCAGACTGCAAACCTCATTCAGCATCAGAGGCATCACACTGGAGAAAAATGATAGGAATGCGGTTCGTATGGAAGTGCTGTGGGAGTGATGACATTAACTATTGAATATAAGAGAACACATGAAGAGTCACAATGAAGTCTTTTGTTACAATGGCTCTAATTACTAGAAGCCAAGTGTCACAATGCCATGGGTTTTGAGAGCATTAAGGATGGTATTTCTCTTTAGTGCTGCCTCGGTTGGATAGTAGTACCTTTTTCTTATTGGCCTGAATTACCAAGTATTAGAACCAAAATAAAACTTCATTAAAAGTATAATGTCAGTTTATTGAATTCACAATTTGTTAAGAAAATTATAAAAATTAATACTGAGAAGCAAATGGACAAAAAAGTAAGAAATGGTCTATATGCATTTTATTCTAGATTTTCTTCTATAAGAAAGCTGCCACCTTTAATAGAACCTTTTGTCTCCTCTCACCCACAACCCTGATGCCTAGTGTAAAGAAGTTGCAGTTAGTCACCTGTGCATGTGTCAAGAATCATTTAAATCATGCTTATGATTTCTGCTGTTTCAAACACCTTTTTGTCAAACCTCCTGGGTCTACCTGCCCACTTGCTTCTTACCCGTGTTCTTTTAGGAAGGTCCATTTGAATCATGGGACCCTCTTCTTACTTAGCTCCAACTGTTATTACCTTGTTCCTTGTTATCACCACCATGGACCTCAGTCATAAGTAAATCTGAATTGCAAAATCAGCAGAGTCCATGATACTGGATTTCACACCTAAATCCAGCTTTCAGAACTCAATCTCTTTCTAGAGGCAAAGAGTCATCAAAAGCACTGTACAAGACCTCAGCTAACTACGATACTGGTAATACCTAAATCTGGGCTTTTTCCTGGTAGCCATTACCCTCTAGCCATTCCAAGCCATAGTAAAGTTACACTATCCACAGGAGTCAGGGGCTTTCAGGTGGGTTTGTTCCTACCATCTAGTTATGGCTGGCATTCCTAGCCACTTCTACTTTTGTGACTTGCCATCTCCCCATATACAATTGACATGAGATGAGGGCTCTACAGCCAATTTTCAGATGCTCTGACTCATTACTTATTCCTGGTCATTGCTACAGCTACTGTATTAGAGTATATCTGCCACTCCCATATTATTGAACTGTACATCCAGATCCTTGTCCTACTTTTGTCTGGGTTTCTGAAGATATTCTGTGTTGATAAAAGCAATATACCTATAATTTCTGCTTATATGTTTGCAAGTTCATTTCTTTTCCTCTAATGAGGCACCCTACCATTTAAAGACTATTGTTCTGACAGTGGTGAACAACATATAGAGCAATTCCATGGGTCCTGAGATGAACAGTAGCACCATTGACATTCTCTGGCCTGTGCAAGACCCAGGCCCAAAAGGCTGTGACAAGCTAATCCTACAGGCAGGTCTTTCACTCTCATTAATCTCTCAATTTTTTTGTTGTAGACATCACAGTCACAGCCATGCATCTCCTATATGCAGGCCCTGGAGACACTCTTCCACACCACAAGGTACAAAGAATCTGTACTATTGCAAGGTG